CTCTTGTGTATGTGTATGAAGGAGGAAAAGGAAGAAATAAAGAAAGAAAGTAAGGAAGGAAGGAAGGAAGGAAGGAAGGAAGGAAGGAAGGAAGGAAGGAAGGAAGAAAGAAAGAAAGAAAGAAAGAAAGAAAGAAAGAAAGAAAGAAAGAAAGAAAGAAAGAAAGAAAGAAAGAAAGGGGACCTAGCCCATTTTGCTCAGTAGATAGCTCCTGGACTGAAGGGTCCCAGGTTCGTTTCTGGTCAAAGGCATGTATCTCGTATCTCGTTGCAGGCTCAGACCCCAGCTCAGGTTGGGGTGCATGTGGGAGGCAACCAATCAATGTGTCTCTCTCACATGGATATTTTACTCTCCCTGTCTCTCCCCTTCCCTTCCAATCTCTCTGAAAATCTATGGAAAAATATCCTCGGGTGAGGATTAACCGAAAAAAAAAAAAAAAAAAAAGGGAAATGAGAGGGTAAAACACATTAAACATGGATTCACAGACAATAGACACGATGGGTTTTTAAGGGAAAATATGAAAATAAGATGCTCGGGGGCATGGCTAACTTTTGAGGCTGACATCAAGGGAAACCTTCTTATTCTCCCACAACCTATGCCTTAGTGTTACCATCAGAGAAAGGTTAGGCCACAGGCCATGTAACTGACACTGAGGCAGTTCTGACACTTAGCTGTAGTTGTGTAAAAGTCTAATCCAATTCTCTGATCCTGGTTTTGTGCTGTCTCTTCTGACATCACAGTGCACTGCACTATCATTGAAAACTGCTGCTGGATAGCATCTGCTAGAAGGCCGATATTTTTAAGAACTGTCAGTGGGACTTTTCTACTGCCCCTTCTATATTGCCAATAACATTTCTCTCCTGATGGCTGGGGGTGGAGTGTCTGACAAAGACCACCCACTTATCTGCATAGGGACACATCTTCTCTGACTCCAGGCTGGTTCTAGTAACCTCTGACACTCCTATGTATTCCATTAATGAGGCGTGAACAGGTGGGTGGCAGATTGACCACCTTAGTGGTATGATTAGAGAGGGCTCAGGAAGTGCCTCCTGCCTCCAAATAACCACCCACTCAACACTGTGATTAATATACCACAGCCATAGGTCTGTGCTTCCGGTTAGGTCTCCTCTTGGAAAATCAAGAGGCTCCTGGAAGAGGAAACTCTTTAAGTTGACAGTCTTTCACGCCTTGTGGGGAGGTACTTATCATTTTGCTTTCTCCCACGGCTTCTAAATGAGAATAAGGGCTAGACTGGGTCAAGAAATTCTGATGTAGAACAGAACATAGTCCACTGGCCATGGAGCATGTAGTGAGGAACTATGGGAGACTGGGGCTGGACTGAGATCAGTTGGAGGGGTATAGGGGATCATGACAGGGATGCTTTGCCAGGATTCTCCTGTAGGTGGGGCCTAAGATGGGTACATTTCTAGCCTAAATCCCAAGTTCAATGGCTTGGGAAAATCACATTTCTCCATGTCTCAGTCTTCTCATCTGTAGAATGGGGTAATACTCAGCTCAGAGTTGTTGAAGTAACTAGATTAAATTATGCATGTGATATGTTTAGCATAGGGCCTAGTATACACTTAGAAATAATGTCTGCTATTATTATTGTTGTCAATATTTTTAATGTTATTATTTTAAATTACCACTTCTCTTTTAGATAGTAAATGACGTTATCCTGAAATGCTTACATTCCCTCCAAAGCTCATAATAAAAATTATTATTAAAAATTCTCCACATTAAAATTCTCTAGTTATTGCCAAAACTTTTTCTTTGTATTTTCAGTAAACATTTCAAAATATAGACAATAAACAAATAAATATTTGACTTAATATTCAACACTATTCCTAAAAAAGACATCATTAACTCAATCACAGAAGCTTATCTAAGAACCCTGAAATCTAAGGCATATTGGATACGAACATTCTCTGCAGGCAGCCACCACAAGAGTATAAAGAAGCATAAACAAATACTCACAAGGGTTTTCATTTTGTCAGAAGGGAAGAAGGTGCTGGAGCAAGTGAGGCTGCCTGGAGCAGCTCCTACCCTTTATATTGGTTTCAAGGTGTGGAAATCTCTTTCCAGACCGATCACTGTGGAAAAAGCTGTGTCATATCCGACACACCCCAGCAAACTCCTTTATCGAGATTGAGACCCAACCACATAACCTGATATCAATGAAGTTCATTAGTCAGTAGTGAAATTCACCACTTGGTCACTCTGTAAATATTCTCTGCTTATCTGCTCTATGTTGCACATGAGAGTTCAATTTCCACCCTTTAAAAACATTGCGAGATGCTTGTTTTATGCAGACATCTTAACATAGAAGGGCATATTCTTAATATTGTAACCACCCCCTGCCTTGAAGTAAAGTCTTCCCTTAAGATCTGAGTTGGGGTCCCCACTCAGTGATTATTCGTACCTACCCTGCTTCTTGAGTTCCTCCACCCAAGGAATGGACATGAGACTAGACGCAGGGATGGGCAAACTTTTTGACTCAAGGGCCACAATGGATTCTTAAACTGGACCGGAGGGCCGGAACAAAAGCATGGATGAAGTGTTTGTGTGAACTAATATAAATTCAAAGTAAACATCATTACATAAAAGGGTACGGTCTTTTTTTTTTTTTTAGTTTTATTCATTTCAAACGGGCCGGATCCGGCCCGCGGGCTGTAGTTTGCCCACGGCTGGACTAGAGGCAAGAACAGTGGCTGGGGGCCTCTTTTGAGAACAAACAACCTATGACTTTCTTTCTCTTCCCCTTTAGAGATGGTATCAATTTTCAGAGACTCATGAAGAACAGGGCTCAGAGATTTCTCTGCCCAATTACCGGGGTTAACCAAATTTTTACATTAAGCCTTGGCCAAGACACTGTGAAACTATGATTTATATATCTCTAGTTATCTTGAGGAGCATTGAGAAATTCTCAGATTTAAAAAAAGAGAGAAAATAAAGTTTAATTTGTATAATTTTTATAATGCCACAATCAGAAAAGGCTATCTAGTGTTAGGGTGGGATCATGAACTCAGAAGGTGGGGGAATACAAAAACAAACAAAAAATGGAAAATTTGTTAAATATTGAAAATCACTACGGTAAGCAAAGAATAATATAGTAAGCATAAATGATGTCCTTGATCTACAACTACAGTGACTTCCTAACTAGCAGGATTTTTTAATAGGGCTTTTAAAAAACAGACATTTGGGCAATTTGGGGCTGACCTAGTTCACTAGAATTCTGCTATACTGGCTGTTCAGCTGTGGTGATGTAAAATGTGCTGCTTAAAACATTTATTTTATTTTATTTTAGAGCGAGAGAGGAAGAGAGAGAGAGAAACATGGATTTGTTGTTACACTTATTTATGCGTTCATTGGTTGATTCGTGTATGTATCCTGATGGGACAATGCTCTAAACCAGTGGTTCTCAACCTTCCTAATGCTGCGACCCTTTAATACAGTTCCTCATGTTGTGGTGACCCCCAATTTCATTGTTACAAATTGAACATAATTAAAGCATAGTGATTAATCACAAAAACAATATGGAATTACATATATGTTTTCCAATGGTCTTAGGCAACCCCTGTGAAAGGGTCATTCGACCCCCAAAGGGTTCATGACCCACAGGTTTAGAACCGCTGCTTTAAACAATTGAGCTACTGGCCAGGGTGCTGATTTTATTTTTTTAGCTTCCTGAGATAACAGTAGCAAGAATGATTACAATTTTGTAATATATCTGCCACTTTTCTCCCAGGTCTGGCTCCAAAAGCCCCCCAAAGCAAGCCACAACTATACTAGTAGACATAAGAGCAGATAGAGGTATTACCGTCTACCGGGACTATACCCTTTACTTTGTCCTGTCCCCAGGAGTTCTGAGTCTATAGGCTTGATAATGATATGGTTAACATTTATGAAGCACTTGACATGTTCTAGCACTTTCCAAGCACTTTGCATATATTGATTCATTTGATCTCATAACAACCCACTAAGCTACCTTCTATCCATGTTCCATTTTACATATGGGAAAACTACGGAGCAGGGAAGTAACTCCTCAGCATTATGCAGCTTCCAGGGGCAGGAGGGAATCTGAGCCCAATCTGACTTCACAGTCCACACTTGTATCTACCAGTACTACACGCCTGTAAGTTGCTGGGTAAGTGTAACGCCTTGCCTTACTGAGATGGGGGCGTTAGGGTGAAGGCTTCTGCCTCCATATGTTTCCTTTTTATAAAAAAAAAATTTAAGTCATTTTTCATTTTTCAATTATAGTTGACATACAATATTATATTAGTTTCAGGTGTACACCTCGACATTCAATAACTTACTAAGTGAGCATCCAGTTAAATCTTGGATCCATCTGACACCATAGATAGTTATTAGAATACTATTGACTATATTTCTTATGCTGCACTTTACATTCCCATGACTATTCTGTAACTACCAAGTTGTACTTGTTAATCCCTTCACATTTTTCACCCATCCCTTCAACCCCACTCCCAGAAAAGAATGTTTTTTGGCCACAAGATTGGTTTTGAAAAATCAGGCTTACCCACAACTTGATGGTGAAAACTTAAAAAAAAATTTTTATTAATTAATTTCAGAGAGGAAGGTAGAGGGAGAAAAAGATAAAAACATAAATGATGAGAGAGAATCATTGATCAGCTTCCTGCTGCACGGGATCGAGCCCACGACTTGGGCATGTGCCCTGATCAAAAATTGAACTAATTAATTTCAGAGAGGAAGGTAGAGGGAGAAAAAGATAAAAACATCAATGATGAGAGAGAATCATTGATCAGCTTCCTGCTGCACGGGATTGAGCCCACGACTTGGGCATGTGCCCTGATAAAAAATTGAACCCTGAGTTAGAATGATCACATGCATTTTCACCTTTCAGTCTGCAGGCAGACACTCTATCCACTGAGCCAAACTGGTTAGGGCTCTCATCTATTACTTAAACAGGTTAAATAAAAACTGGGGGCAGGTGTGGGGTCGCGGGGGGCAATAAAAAAAGGACATAAAATTTTAAAGAAAAAAGCAAACAAAAAAAGGTTAAAAAATAATAAAAATTAAAAAAACATAGCCAAGGTCCATGCATAATTAGTGGCAAAAATAAGACTTTTTCTTGCTATTCTATTCTTCAAAAAACAGAAAATTCATTGGTTTGTTGCCTTTCTATACATAAGTTTAAGCCAATTTGTGTCTTTCTCTCCAATATATCAGTTACCTTTTCTATTATTAGACTTAAATCCTCTACTTTCGCAATCTCTCTCTTGCTCGCTTTCTCCATCCCTATTCTCTCCTGTTTCCTTTCTTTCTATCTCACAATTTACTTCTGCAACTCTTTTTTTTTTTTGCAGGGATTTACATTACATCATATACCATAATATGTCAGACTCAACATGTCTAAAGTAAAGAATGTTGCATTCTTTTCCCCAAAGCTGATCTTTTTTTGGACACTGTTATTTCTGTTGATAATTTCTCTGGGTCTGCAGGCTCATTTTGAAGTTTCCTTGATTTTTCTTCCATTTTTCCTCTGTAATGACTCTATAATGTGGCTCTTCCTCTCCAATACATCAGCTCATACTCCATTCCTTGTCATCACTACCACATACTATCCTTGTCACAATGATTTTAATTAGAATAATTGGCACTAGCTGTTGTAACAAACAACACTTACATCTCAGCCATTTGACTAAATAAACTTTTATTTCTCACTCGCATAAAATCTAATACAGATGACTTCATGGTGGGTGGCTCTCTTCCAAGTGATGACTTATGGATTCCACCCTCTTTCTTAGGCAGCTTCCCCATCTTGAATCTGTAGCTTCATGGTATCCTGACATCATGGGACTGGCAGATGGGAGTTTAGATAAACAGTGTGAGAAGACACATCTGCTTTTAACTTCTTCAGACTGAAAATGACCACATCTGTTCATATCCATTGATAAAGACAGTCACATCGCCATATCTAGATGTGAGGGAAATAAAGCTTAGCTCTGTGCCAAGAACACAAAGCCTGTCTGTGCCAAAAGACCAAAATTGTACTTCCTGCTTCCAGGCTGCCCATTGCTTCATCCTCAACAACACTATTAATTCATGGTTCAAAAGCACCACTTTGCCTACATTGCTCTTGTGCTCAAAACTTTTTAAAATTCTCCATCACCTCTAGGACACAGTGGTTGACTCCTAGCTTGGCTTTTAACTCACTCTATAGTCTTCTTCCAAACTAATCTCCCCAAGTGATATGAGTGAGGAAATATTCTAAATAAAAGAAAGAAGATGTGAACATAGAGGTAGAAAAAGGTTCATGTGCTCAATTCCCATAAAAAAGACACTCAAATTATTTGACTATACTTTTTCTGTCCTTTCCCTCCATATCCTAAACTCCCCACTTTTTATCATGTTATTTTCCTTTCACACTACCTTTGTCCATTTTGTCTTTCTTTCTCCTCTCCTTCTTTCCTTCATTTCCCTTCTTCCTTCTATTCTTAGTGGCTTCCTACCTTATGAAAATCATGGGAAGAATATTCTGAAAGTCTGTGTGGTGTTGCTCAGTGGTTGAACGTCAACCTATGAGCCAGGAGGTCACAGTTTGGTTCCAGGTCAGGGAACATGCCCAGGTTGTGGGCTCAATCCTCAGTAGGGGGCGTGCAGGGGGCAGCTAATCAATAATTATCTCTTATCATTGATATTTCTATCTCTCTCTCCCTCTCCCTTCCTCTCTGAAATTAATCAAAATATATTTTAAAAAGAATATTCTGAAAGAGACAGAAGGATGAACTACACCCAATGAATCTCTGCTCTCAGAGAGTTTGCTATCATAAAATACAAATAACTGTTAAGCTATCAAAATATAGTAAATGTTAAGTATCAGAGGAGAGGCACAAGTTGAATGTTATGATAATCCAAAGTACAGATTGTATTAGCCATATTTATTGATGACAAGCAAAAATATTTATATTCTTCATCATTTTCTACATTATATAAATAATCACTTCTTTTCTTTAGTGACCCTAAATTCACATATTTTCAATTTACAAAAAGTTTTTACAAATCCATAGTAAGCTAATGAACAAATACAATTTTTTAAAGGGCAAAGAACTTAATTAGAGGAAGAGAAAGCACTAACAAGAAATGGTGAAGAGTTGAAGTTCCAGAAGCATCCTACTTGGACTTGAATTCCAACTTCTCTAGTTTATCTTGTGGAAGGAAAGCATAGCAAAGTGCCCTCTCAAAGCATCCTCATGAACACTGATGGCTCACATACATAACATACGTAGAACTGCCACAGAGTAAGCTCCCAGTGAAGTTTATCTAATATTATTATCATTTTATTATAGGTAAAACATTTGAACCTCATAAGTTATTAGAGAATTGCAAATTCAAAAAACATTATTAAATTAAATTTAAATGAAACTAAGATATCTGAAAATTCCCTAATTATTTGGACATTTTTAAAAAGCCACTTCTAACCCTGTTGGGTGGCTCATTTGGTTGAAGCATCGTCCCTTACACCAAAAGGTTGTAGGTTTGACTCTTGGTCAGGGTACTTGCCTAGGATGCTTGTTTAATCCCTGGCTGGGTTGAGTTAAGGAGGTAATCAGTTGATGTTTCTCTCACACTGATGTGTTTGTCTGTTTGCTTGTTTTTTTTTTTTCTCTCTCTCTCCCCCTTCCTCTCTCTCTAAAAATCAATGAAAACATATACTCATGTGAGAATTAGAGAAGAAAAAAAAAGAAACCCGAAAACAAATATCAAATTAAACCCAAATCAAGCACAAAGCAATAATAAAGCGCAGAAATCAATGAAATTGGATAGAGAGGCATTACATCATGATAAAGGGGTCAATTCTTCAGGAGATATAATAATCCTTAATATACATGCACCTAACAACAGAGTATCATAAAAACATGAGGTAAAACTAACAGGATTGGAATGAGAAATAGAGACCTACTATTTTGGCTGGATACTTCACTATTCCTGTCCAGTAACTGATAGATCAAAAAGTCATAAAATCAATACGAATATAGTTGAACTAAAGAATACCATCAGTCAATTGGATCTAACTGACATAGAATACTTCATTCAGCAACAACAGAACATGGAACAAGCTCATGTGGAACATTCACCAACCTAGACCACATCCTGGGCCATAAAACATATCTTAACAACTTAAAATAATAGAAATATAATAGAAATCCAAGTATGTTCTCAGCCCACAATTGAATTAAATTATATACCAATAACAGAAAAATAACTGGAAAATCCCAAAATATTTGGAGACAAAATAATACACTTCCACATAATATGTGGATCAAAGAAGTCTCAAAAGAAATGAAAAGGAAATATACTAAAAAGTTAATAGTGATTATTTTTGCATAGTAGAATAATGTGTCACTCATTTTTTTCTTTTTTTTATCCTCGCCTGATAATATTTATTGGAGAGAGAGAGAGAGAGGTGGGAGAGAAACATCAATTGGTTACCTCCTGTATCTACCCTGACTAGGATGGAACCCAAAGACTTTTGGCGTATGGGAAAACACCTCAACCAACTGAGCCACCCGGCAATCATTTATTCTTGATAATTTTTCAAGCTTTCTATAAATTTCTAAGAGCTGCTTTCCTGATCAGCTGACATAAAGGACTTGGATAGATTGGCAAACATTTTGAACAGTGGCTAAAAGGAAGAAGGGAGAACATCACTACAGACAAGGAAAGCTGAATTCCACTGATACTATTACAGGTGCAAGGAGGATATTTTTTAGTTTAAATTCTTTTCTTTTTTACCTCCTATTCAATAATAGAGTGGAAATTGTATAACCTCTTCTAGATTTGGGAAAAATGGCCAAAATTAGTAGAATCTATTTTGTACCTGTATTTCAGTTGAGCTCGTCCTTGATTGAGCCCTAATCATGTGACAGTAACTATGTTAGACACAAGGAATATGAGTTCTGTCCCAGAAGACTCATAGCATAATAGATATATATAAGATGTCCATCACACATCATCTGTATATACCTTCAACCTATTTTAAGGTGAATCATAAAATTTTAAACAATAAATGGTGTCTACATTTCTTAAATATACGTATGTGTTTAGATATCTCCTTTTGTGCATGCCTTATATTCCTTTATGAAGAGACGAAATCAATTTTAAAGGTGTGTCAATTACCAAAAAGAAATCAATGTGCTTTTCTAGAGGAACACCCATGGCCAACAACTAAAATGTTAATTTACTGGGAGGAGCTGAAGGGTGTTGGACACACCACACAGCTATGAGAAAGAGAAAAGGGCCTCAGACACGCAGGGATACACCTAAGCACAAAGGCCAGGGAGAAAGGGAAGCTTCAAGTGGCTATTGGTGAGAATTAAATCCATACACTATCTCAAGCTCAGTATGTAGCAAGTTGTAGTTTCTTGATAAGTGGAATAATTCTGACTCATTTGTCTCTATCTAATTGTGATTAACTGAGATATTTCAGAACCATAAAGGAGAATCTGAGAGAGTTAAGAATGTTATAAGCTGGTCTCCTCACAGCCACTGAACCCCAAGTTCACACCACCTGGCCTCACCCTGTGACTCAGCATGCAGGTATATGTGTTAAACCTTGACACTTCCTGCACCTGCAACCCAGGCCCCACCAGTGGAGGTAGAGGGTCTATGGGGAGAGGCAGAAGGTGGGATAACTCATGAGCCACAGCTCCCAAGTCCCAGTGCATGCGACATTGTCTCATCAGACTTGACTTACAAAACACAAATTCAAAAATAAAATTATTAAGAATTTCAAGATGGCGCCAGCAAAGCACTGAATTCAAGCATGAGTCTCTCTTCTGAGCACAAGCCCTGTGAAGACACTGGCCATGTGATCATGAAGTTAGCCTGTTTCAGATGTAGATTTCAGGACTCTGGAGTATGAGTACTGGCTGTTTTACATCTTTGGCTCTTCTGTAGAACTTGTGCTTAACTGGGGCATGACATTTGCTGGAGCCTGGTGGCTTGCTGCTAATTAAAAACTAAACCTGGAAGCTCAAAATTCCCTGAGGCCCCTCTGAGAATCCAATATCCTTATCGGAGTATTTTGCCCTTTCCAGGAGTGGCTGCCATGGTTGAAGAAATACACCTTAAGCATGAGTGCTTTTGCACCATCTTCTCTAACCTGCTTCGCAATGAACACTAAACAAGGAATAAGTGCTCTTGTTTCTGAATGAGCTGTAAGATCATTATAAAGCAACATATTGCTATTACTTTGTGATTATTGTTTCTCATGTTTTCTCCACATCCTTTTCA